TTTGTAGTTTAATTCAGTCATGCCTGTTAGAAATTTGGAAATCGCACCGTGTGGTTGGATATGTTCATCAATCGGGATGCAGGTCACTGTTAATATATTATATCATAGCTTGCAACAAATTATTCTTAAAGTACTGCATGACAAAGTTATCAGAATCAAAATTTGGTTCGCTCCATTCATGTCCAGACTTGGAGTTGCTGACCCACTGTTCGGGGTTGGAAAAGTTATCCACATCAGCTGGAACGAAGTCTTGTGCACTGGGTGAATACAAACCGGCCATGAACTCATCAAGTGTTGTCCCCGAATAATTAGATGCCGTTAAGTATTTTGTAAACATGTCACAGAGATACAAACAGTGATACACGCATGTGTTTCCCTGTTTCTGTAGTTTTAACTGACTCCATTCAACTCTGTCACGTAGGTCATCTGGAACGTTACCATGGGAATCAAAATACATGTACCGAGGCTTTCCATCACAAGGTACAACAATTATTGCTGTGCAGTGAAGCATCTCATGTTCTCCTTTCTGATTTTGGTCGGAAACAAAATAGAAGCCTGGTTCATAAGTTTCTAAATCGCGGGAAATATTTTCTTTGTAAACCATTTCCCGATAATGCTTATGAAGTTGGGGATTCATCAAAATAATAACATCTAACTGGGCTTTGGTTAGACCTCCTAGCATCAAATCACTGATGCCTTTTTTATCCGAAGTCTTGCTTATCAGTTTACAACATATCGCTTGTATAAATTCTGGGCTTGTGACGTGTTTGATACTCCTTTCGTCGTCATGTGGTGGAACTGGTAAGCGAGTTAGGCTTACATCATCTACGAAACTCTTTTCGTCGTCATCTGGTGGTGGAGCCGAGGGAGTTAACCATGTGCCATCAGCATATTCCACATCAATATCTTGGACCTCTTTAAATGAGGTATTGATAAGTAACTTTGATGCATTTTCTGGTACTGGTCTAGTGGAAGGAGTTAACCCCTCATCATCGATATATTCAGATTCTGTGGTTTCTATTTCATTAAGACCTATGGATGATGTACTTGTTGGTTTGTGTGACGCATTGTCTGGTACTGGTCTAGAGGAAGGAGTTAACCCTTCATCATCAGTATATTCCGGTTCTGTGGTTTCTATTTCATTAAGACCTATGGATGATGTACTCGTTGGTTTGTGTGACGCATTGTCTGGTACTGGTCTAGAGGAAGGAGTTAACCCTTCATCATCAGTATATTCCGGTTCTGTGGTTTCTATTTCATTAAGACCTATGGATGATGTACTCGTTGGTTTGTGTGACGCATTGTCTGGTACTGGTCTAGCGGAAGGAGTTAACCCCTCATCATCGGTATATTCCGGTTCTGTGGTTTCTATTTCATTAAGACCTATGTATGATGTACTCGTTGGTTTGTGTGACGCTTTGTCTGGTACTGGTCTAGCGGTAGGGTTTAACCCCTCATCATCAGTATATTCCGGTTCTGTGGTTTCTATTTCATTAAGACCTATGGATGATGTACTCGTTGGTTTGTGTGACGCATTGTCTGGTACTGGTCTAGAGGAAGGAGTTAACCCTTCATCATCAGTATATTCCGGTTCTGTGGTTTCTATTTCATTAAGACCTATGTATGATGTACTCGTTGGTTTGTGTGAGGCTTTGTCTGGTACTGGTCTAGCGGAAGGGTTTAACCCTTCATCATCAGTATATTCCGGTTCTGTGGTTTCTATTTCATTAAGACCTATGTATGATGTACTCGTTGGTTTGTGTGACGCTTTGTCTGGTACTGGTCTAGCGGTAGGGTTTAACCCCTCATCATCAGTATATTCCGGTTCTGTGGTTTCTATTTCATTAAGACCTATGTATGATGTACTCGTTGGTTTGTGTGAGGCTTTGTCTGGTACTGGTCTAGCGGTAGGAGTTAACCCCTCATCATCAGTATATTCCGGTTCTGTGGTTTCTATTTCATTAAGACCTATGTATGATGTACTCGTTGGTTTGTGTGAGGCTTTGTCTGGTACTGGTCTAGCGGTAGGGTTTAACCCCTCATCATCAGTATATTCCGGTTCTGTGGTTTCTATTTCATTAAGACCTATGGATGATGTACTCGTTGGTTTGTGCATAGATAATACCGTATGATTGCCGACTCGTTTTTAGAGCGCATGTTGCGTTCTGGTTCGTGCGCATATTTTTTTGCGCAGGGGGGGTTGTTTACTTCCGGTCTAGCTTTCGACAGTACGTACGCACAGTGACACGCGAAATTGACATTTTTGAAACTTATGTTTATGAAATTAATAAAATGAACACGTATATAAAAATTATATGAAAAAAAAGAACAAGATATCTCCTTCCAAAATATTTTTAGATTATTGCAAAAGATGAAATAGCTACTGTGTGACGTTAAGTTGAAAAAAGGTTACAAATGGGCAAAAAATGCCTTTCTTCATTCATGAATCATGTACCGTACCAATTTACACTAAAATTAGGAAATATTTTTGATATAGAGATAATACCTCAAACACCTTTATTTTTATTTTTCTAATACTTCAAAAAAAATGTTCTACAATTTAATTTGCAGAAGGAAAAAGGTTATATTGCGAGCTAACTAACCCGCACCTCTGTGCCACACACAGGCCTACGGTATAGGCCTATCTATAGTATGATTAATAAAATTAGATGTTGCATTTTATTATCAATTGCATGGTATATTAGAACAGTTTTAAAAATCTTGTTTATATTCAAATGTGTATTTTTTTAAATAAATTCAGCTTTGTTTGTATACTTTAGTTAATAAAGATGTAAATATCCCTACAAAATTCTTTTCCAATCTAGGCCTAATTAATAATTTTAGAAAATGGCCATTTATTTATTTTAAGTCCCTCTGACGCTCTGTCATTTAATTTAGTTAATTTTATAAATGCAGACCCCCCCCCCCAAAAAAAAAAAATACACACATACTTTTTTTTCAGCTTGCACAACTGGAAAAAAGTTTACTTATATAAATCCACCCCAATGTAAGCAATTATTTCATAGTCTTTTTGATCTAGGCTTTGTTGAGAAATTAAATTAGCTTCAGTAGATATAACAATTATATATAAGGAAAAAGAAAACACTATTAGTATTAAATAAAAAAGGAATTATTGCTTTAGTTATCTAAAATAGATTCTTCCAGGAATCCTGTACATTAAAAGATTTACAAGAGTTGATAAAGGCAACTTCATCCTTGATATCTGATATTTCAATGTTGGCCACACCAATTTGATTTCCTGTTCTTCGGGCTTCGATATAAAAATAAATAGCTAATTACATCATGTGAAAGATGTTTTGTTTAAAAATTTGGAACTATAAGCTTTTGAACAGTACAGCCAAGTACTTTTGGTGTTTAAATAGATGTATGTATTTTTCCAGAAGAACCAAATAAATAAATATAATGAACGTCCATTTCTATAGCGCCAAAATTCCGCAAAAATTGTGTTCATAGCGCTTGGCAAAACATACCTACACGAAGTCTTTAGCTCTAAGTTATCACTTGTTTGTAACAGATGAGTTTTTAAAAATTGTAAGGCACTACATTTATCTCATCATGTTGTTTATATGAATATATGATTACGGTATCCAATATCATTCATGTCATTAACATTTAACTTGTTTGCATACTTGACAAATTAGCCTATAGATCTAGTCAAATTTTTTTACAGAGTTACTTCGTGTAACCGGGGTAATTAACAAGACTGTTTTGTTAGGGGTTTTTTTAAAAAAAAAAAAAATTAAAACACGTCATCCAAGCGAGAACCAAAATATATTTCTTTATGTCCTAAATTAAAATAAAACAATAACAATAGACATAAATTTGAAGGGGAATTATGTAAGATTTAGATAAAGAGCTGGTCGTTCTCGTTATTAACTATAACATTTCAAAAATAGATAATGCAAATTGAATATATTGAAAATTTACCACCATACCGTTCTAATCTATTTAAAATCTGAGCAATCAGATGGCATCGAGAGTTGATTATGGTCTTTTCATGTTAATAAATGTCTAATTGATAATTTACATAACATTAAGGCCCAAAGAAAGACCTGCAATAAGCAGATTTAGCTCTTACATCATGCCTGTTTAACATTTAAAAACGCATCTTTAATTAACAATACTTTTATGATAAATTAATAAATGTATTATTAAATAAAGCGATCAGACAATGTTAATGTTACATAATTGGATGAATAATTATATAATTTATAGGCACCTTATTAGATTGAAATACCAACTCTTTCTTCCTCAACTGATAAGATTAAATTATTTAAATCAAAAAATGCAATAGCCTAATATTATTGTTAAGATTAACTTATTTAATTGAAACAAAAATTGTAGGTTATATTTTTAATGATTAATTTAATTACATGGAACAGTAAACCCATATCCTTAAATATCGACCGGCAGCTATTTTTAAATATTAATTTTTCTCCAGAACCGTGTTATTTCCTGAAAAGCCATACATCTCAGCATTGTAACAAAACCAACCTTATCAATATTGGAGCAAAATTGACTGAATTCTTTAACACCAACTGGCTGATCCCTTTTTCGCGAAAATTGGTCATTTGGCTTCAATTCTCAACCTATTTAACCATCAACATAACCATACAAACACATTACACATAGCTTGAGTGGTTTATTTTCTGATGTTTGAAATACATAAAATTAAATAATTATGCTTAATTCAACTATACAAAATTAAAATCAATAATGATATAATACAATCAAACAATTTAAACCAAATCCCTTGTTGAGTATTAAAATAAAACAAATAAAATAATGAAAATAATAATATCCCCCCCTCCCCCCCCAAAAAAAAAATGAAATAAAAAAAAAAAAAATATAAGTAAATAGATACATAAAATAAAATACTTTATCAATATATTAATGTCTAGTGTCTCAATATTTATACCCCCTCCCCCCCCCCCACACACACAATATGAAAAGAAGTAAATAACATAAATAAAACATACAATTATTTATCAGTATCACAATAAATCAACATGAAATATATTTGCTTCACAAGCTGGCACTCCCCTAGGCAGCAAACAAAAGACGGGTACCACTACCAGTACGTTCTGCTGAAAATACAAAAGATTTTTAAAAAATTTTGTGTAATTAAAAGCTTATATATAGCCAACACAGCAATGTTATTATTCATACCAAACTGTATTTTATATATTTACGATTTATTAATGATCTGCAAGTATTATTTTACAAATTAATGAATTGAAAACTCTATTTTGCCGATTTTTAAAAGTAGGTCAAAGCTGTCAAACTTTGCCTTAACTGGACAACACACGTGTCGAGATTTTCATGAAATGTAATACTTATTTATAATACAATATAATATCAAAATTATAAGATATTCATTTTTATTCTTACCTCGAACATTGCTTCTATTTCTCGTTACCATTTAACCAGATGATGCCACATTTAATACTAAAGAAAGCGCTAAATAAAAATATCGCTACTGGGCCTATAGTAAACAAACAGCGAGAACAGAAGACCGGAAGTGATCAACCACCTTTCTCGCCGTTTCACGCGTTTCGCAACATAACGTCGAGAATTCATGAGTCGGCAATCATACGGTATTATCTATGGTTTGTGTGACGCTTTGTCTGGTACTGGTCTAGCGGTAGGGTTTAACCCCTCATCATCGATATATTCTGTTTCTGTGGTTTCTATTTCACTTGTCGCCATTTGGGTAAATACTCTTTTGTAGACACGACAAAGTGACAGGCATCTACACACCAGAGCAGAATGATTGACAGCTGTCAGCCTTCATCTTGGAAATATCAAGGGAAATAATTTGAACAACTGGAGGCAGACCACATTGTCTACTACATAAATGTTAAAACCCGTTTACCTGCTATTCCAGGCCATGGGTTTAAAGTAGAACAATAAACTAATATAGCCTTATTTATATCGCTAACTTTTTACAATCTGTTTTTCACCCATAACGCCATTAATACCCCCCCCCCCACATACACAATAAGTGACGAAAGAAAGAAATAAACATTCAATGTTTTAATTTTTCTATATACCCCCCCCCCGCAAACACCATATTTATATATATCGTAGATTGGGTCTCAAAGCAGGATTTTTTTTTTAATTTAGATTGGCCCCAAGACACGATTTTTTTATTTTGATTCGTGTCACAGCAGGATTTTCTTCATTGGTCCCAATGATTTTTTTTAGGTTATCCCACACGGCAGGGATTTTCCCTAGATTAATCTCCAACGGGATTTTTCTGTAGATTAACGCACACAGCACGATTTGTAAAGATTGCGTGGTCCCGTCTATTTAAATTGTTATAATAATGATATTAGTATTTCTATGGTCACAATGATTTTATATAGATTGCCCCTCACAGCAGATTAGCACCCACAACAGGAGTTTTCTTTAGATTATCCATCACATCGGGCCCCGAGTTCACAAACCCAGACAGCCACTCAGCGCCATAGTCTGGGTAATACTTGGCAACTATTGGCTCACTACTGATAATAAAACTTATTTTTGTAACTGGTATCTAAGAATATCTTGTCAGTTTGTTAAAAGGTTTTAAATTTTTTGTTTTATATTCCAAACATTTGAAAAAATAATATTATGCGAGAAGCTTGCCATGTTTGGGCCACAGATGGCCCACATCCAACTGGCCAAATGCCTCAAAATATCAATCCAATAAATTTCGGCTCAGAATATGACTTCTAGTTTCCAGAAGAACTTTCCTGGGTGCTGAGGTCCTGCAGTGTTCTATATTAGTTTTATTAATATTTTTTTAATGTACTGTATACAATATGAATGGAATCAGCTCACCCCGCCCTTCAAAAAAAAAGGCCAGTAAATGTGAATCTTTAAATCAAAAATAATTAATTATTTTTAAAAGAATTCAATGAAAAAAAGACAAAGTGTTAGGTATCATCCTACAAAGTAGCTAGATTTTAATTACTATAGCAGATTCTGTACTCAAGTTATACAATTTGTTGAAGATACATGTAGCAGGTCAACCGTGCAAACCTTTCAACAAAGCATAATTAACAGCCAATTTACTATCTTGAAATCTGTTTGGTCATTGGCTGAATTTTAAATTCTAAAATTCAGTGTAAAACAACTTAATAGAAATTATTATTAACAAGAAACTGAAGACATTGCAGTGGTATACAACTGCACATTATTTTCACAGAACTTAGTTAAAGACAAAAAGATAAGTATATTTTATTACTTTCTCTGCAATAATATTAAATTAGATAAGAATTATGTGATTTTTTTTATTTAGATAACTTCATTTAACTATTCTTTTGCCTTGGCATCATCAACAGAATTCATATGAATCAACAGAGAGAAAAAAAAAAGTTTATCAAATTAGAAGAAATCATGTGCCAACTATATTTTTTCCAAAAATAAGAATTATCTGACTTAACGCTTTGACACCTGCATTGACAGACCCCTAGAATATAATTTAGAAGTAAAAATGTGTGATCAAACTCTACCATAAGGATGCGTGCATGGTGGAAACTAATTTCAAAAATGTTGTAAAAAAACTGGTTCAATGGGGGAAGAAAAATACAAGGGGAAAAGAGGAGGAGACAGCTGCAGGAGAGGGAACAGGGGAAGGATGATATTGACTTAGATGAATAAATTTTATAATTGAAGATTTTGCTTTTGTTGTTAATGTATGTTGTTTGTGCTGCATGCAAGATACCCTTAATTTCTACCATCTAGAGTACCAAACTTGGAAGAAAGTCTTGGCTGTTTCTGCTGGAAAGACTTTAAGAAGGGGAGAGGAATGCGTTTTAACGTCCATTTGACACAAACTATTGAGGGAGTCATGTCCTAGCTTGGCACAAATGTCCCAACTCCAATACGCTCTCCCTCATTTCGTCTCGTCCCGTGCCTAGGCGCTCATGGCCTGCGCTCTCGTGTCCTGGTCGGACCTAACTGTCGATTCGTTTGTTATCTGGGTTTATAAACCCTTCCAAACAAAGGATCTTATTAGGCATCTGGCTAATGTATCATATATCATATCAGGTTTAACATTCGATACATGCTAATCAGACAAAGAAAGTTTAAATAAAACATGCCAACATTACATAAGATTTCATAATCACATAAGAAAGGCTTCTAAGAACTCTAGGGGTCGGACAGGTTGATATATGTTGATACTAAAATCACTTTCATGTGTCAAAGTGGCAGGAAGCGTCTATAACATCTGTGATTATGTAACATTTCATATTCATGTATTTGATACATTAAAACAGCAAAGGTTTTATAAAGGGCTATATTTTAGTTAAAATACGGCGAACAATTTGGAGTAAATTCTTAACTTAAGTCTGAGAATGCTTTTTTTCAGTTTGGCTTTCACAGTAAGATCTTTCTTAAGATTGGTGCCCACACCATAATTCTCTATAGATTGCCCCCACCCCACCCCTCAAATAGATAATCTCTTAGATTGGTCCCAACAGTACGATTTTCTATATATAGATTACTATTACAGCATATTTATTACCATTACAGCATATATTATTACAGCATATTTATAGTGCACCCTTTCATATACCGTGTTCAGGGGCCTTTACAAAGTGACAATGTAACCATATAAAAAAAACAAAAAAACAAAACAAAACAAACCAACCAGCAAAATTATGGACATATTATCAGTTGTATACTGTGTCAGTTAAAGCCTGTTTAAATAAACGTGTAAAGTTGTTTATTAAAAGAATATAGAGATGTACACGATCTTATACTAAATGGAAGATTATTCTGATCATTTAGAGGCATTTAGTAACTGGATAGAGCAACAAACTATAACACATACTTATGGAAGAACAATTACTGATTTATTTGGGCAACGTTTCGAAGAGTATTCTCTCAACGTTTTCATAAAACAGGCAGTTGAAAACTAAAAGAGCCCCAACCATAAGAGACAAATTAAACAGGTTTGGCCTTTAAAAGTAGTTATTATATAGTCTATGAATGTTCGGCGCATCAGAATGTTTCGTCAGAATAGTTATCATAGCAGAATTGGTTTTCAGATTGGTCCCCACAACATTATTTTCTATAGATTGGTCCCAAAAGCAGGGTTTTTCTTTAGATTATCCACCATATCTGGAGTTCCGTTAGATTATTCGCCACAACAGAATATTTCGTCAGAATAGCCATCACAGCAGAATTTTTCTTCAGAATATCCAATGCAGCAGAATTTGTTTTCAGTTTGGTCCCCACCATAGATTGGTTTAAACAACAGGATTTTTCTTTAGATTATCCATCATATCAGAAATTTCGTTAGATATCCATCACAGCAGAATTATTCGGCAGAATAACCACCCCATCAGAATTTTTCGCCAGAATAGCTATCACAGCAGAATTTTCTATAAATTGGTCGCAAAAGCAGGAATTGTGGTTAGATTGTTCAGCAGAGCAGGAAATTTCGGTAGATTATCCATCACAGCAGAATATTTTCATCATAATTACCATCATACCAGAATTTTTCGTCACAATAGACAGGACAGCAGAATTTGTTTTCAGCTTGGTTCTAAGGGCACGATTTTCTATAGATTGGTTTAAACAGCAGGATTTTTTTTAGAATATCCATTGTATCAGAAATTTCGTTAGATTATCCATCACAGCAGAATTATTCGGCAGAATAACCACCACAGCAGAATTTTTCGTCAGAATAGCTATCACAGCAGAATTTTCTATCGATTGGTTCCAAAAGCAGGAATTGTGGTTAGATTATTCAGCAGAGCAGGAATTTTCGGTAGATTATCTATCACAGCAGAATATTTTCATCAAAATAACCATCAAAGAAGAATTTTTCGCCACAATAGCCAGGACAGCAGAATTTGTTTTCAGCTTGGTTCTAAGGGCAAGATTTTCTATAGATTGGTTTAAACAGCGGGATTTTTCTTTGAATATCTATTATATCAGGAATTTCGTAAGATTATCCATCACAGCAGAATCATTCGGCAGAATAACCACCACAGCAGAATTTTTCGTCAGAGTAGCTATCACAGCAGAATTTTCTATAGATTGGTCGCAAAAGCAGGAATTGTGGTTAGATTGTTCAGCAGAGCAGGAAATTTCGGTAGATTATCCATCACAGCAGAATATTTTCATCACAATATCCATCATAGCAGAATTTTTCGGCACAATAGCCAGTAGAACAGCAGGATTTTCTATAGATTGGCTTAAACAGCAGAATTATTCGAAAGAATAGTTATGACAGCAGAATTTTTTGTTTGTCAGAATAGTTATGACAGCAGAATTTTTATTATGGATTGGTCCAAACAGCAGGAAACGTGGTAAGATTATTCAGCAGAGCAGGAATTTTTGGCAGATTATCCACCACAGCAGAATATTTTCATCACAATAGCCACGACAGCAGAATTGTTCGTCACAATAGCCATGACAGCAGAATTTGTTTTCAGCTTGGTTCTTACAGGAAGAATTGCTATAGATTGGCTTAAACAGTAGTATTTTTCTTTAGATTATCCATCATATCAGGAATTTTGTTACATTATCCATCACAGCATAATTATTCGGAAGAATAGCCATCACAGCAGAATTTTTCGTCAGAATAGCTATCACAGCAGAATTTTTATTATCGCTTAGAACCAAAAGTAGGAATTGTGGTTAGATTATTCAGCAGAGCGAAATATTTTGTTAGATTAGCCAAAACAGCAGAATTTGTTTTCAGATTTGTTCTCACAGCAGGATTCTCTTTAGAGTGGTCAAAACAGCAGGTTTTTTTCTTTAGATTATAAAGCCACAGCCGGATTTTTCTTTCGATTATTCATCCAAGAAGGATTTTTTGATAGACTATCGTTTAAAACAGAATTTTTCGTCAAAATATTCATCCAAGAAGGATTTTTTGATAGACTATCGTTTAAAACAGAATTTTTCGTCAAAATAGCAATCACAGCAGAATTAGTTTTCAGATTGGTCCTCAGAGCACAACTGTCTACAGATTGGTCCCAACAGCACGAAATGTCGTGGGATCATTCATCTGAGCAGGAATTTTAGGTAGCTTTTTATCCATCACAGCAGAATTTTTCGTCAGAATAGCCACCACAGCAGAATTTATTTTCAGATTGGTTCTCATAGCAGGACTTTCTATAGACTGGTCCCAACAGAAGCATTTTTCTTTAGATTATCCATCACAAAAGGAATTATGTTAGATTATCCACCACAGCAGAATTTTTCGTCAGAATAGCCATCACAGCAGAATTTATTTTCAGATTGGTTCTCACAACAGGATTTTCTATAGATTGGCGGAACAGAACACTTGGAATTTAAACCCCACTAATTCATATCCAGGTCGACCTGATATGTTGGTCTTTGAGACGGAGAATAACGGTACTCCTGTATTATGACTTAATTATCATAAAAGTGTTATACTTTCAAACTAATAGTGTTACAGAAAAAATTCACCTACACATTAAATGTTTCCTTCAGAGGAGCAACGGTGGCTCAATGTTCAACCCAGTGTTGACTGACGAAGGTGATCATATGATTTTCTGGTGTTCCCCTCGTGAATAGTTTAGGGGGGGGGGGGGCATTCCGCAGAGCTGCTGTCTGGTCAAAATTTCAATCATATCACACTGCATGATGTATACCTGTCTTAATAAGCCAGGCCCCGAGTTCACAAAGCATTCTCAGGCTTAAGTTGAGAATTTACTCAAACTTGTCCACCTTATTTTAACTAAAATATAGCCCTTTATAATAATGTTGTTGTTTGAATGTATCCTATACATCCATAAGAAACTATGTGCAATGTTTTGTGTTTCTGCATCAAAGATATTTCTCATAAACAGTGATTGAAAGTTGAGCAAATTCTCAACTTAAGTCTGAGAATGCTTTGTGAACTCGGGGCCAGGTCAGTACAAAAAAACTAGGACGTGAATCCCCATTTCATTTCTTTTCATCCGATTGGCCCCAAATGCAGCACTTACCCATATTGCACAAAACGTGGCCTTAATTTGTAAAAGAAGAGAGGCATTTTTAAAACAAGGGTGATTGAAACATGTATAACTTTATTTTTCATATTTGGTCAACATAAAATTTGCCTCTTGACAGCCAATATTTATTTTGTTCACCACAACAAATACTGAGGATTTTTTTAACGAAATGTTGCACACAAATTGTCGAGATTACAAACACAAAGTTGCAATTCTGGAGATATGGTAAATGTAACACTTTCTCTGGTATTGCAAATACAGAGTTTTTCTTGAATCTTCTCTTTAATAGTTTTGTACAAAGAAATTCAACTTATTGGAATCCTAGGGCCTGAAAGAATAATGGTAAATATTCGTCTTTAATAAATAAATTTAGTCATAGTGGACATAAATTAACTAAAATTACAAATTACCACCACTACCATCAAAGTATCAACAAACTGAAGGCAGTTCTAGATGCAATTTTACAACACAATGTCACGAAGTTTCATAAATACACCCCCACTGGACACAAACTAGGTCATTTCGGGACTAACATATGGTTCAATTTTATTTCAATAATTCATTTGCGCATTGGGATTCTTTAGCAGTGGAAGGAAACCAGTAGGACTCAGATTTAAATAATTCTATTGTGCATTGGGAGTCTTTAACAGTGGAAGGAAACCAGTAGGACCCAGATTTAAATAATTCGATTGTGCATTGGGAGTCTTTAGCAGTGGAAGGAAACCAGTAGGACCCAGATTTAAATAATTCGATTGTACATTGGGAGTCTTTAGCAGTGGAAGGAAACCAGTAGGACCCAGATTTAAATAATTCGATTGTGCATTGGGAGTCTTTAGCAGTGGAAGAAAACCAGGGGGACCCGGAGAAAACCATGATAGGTGAGTCTGAAAGATACTTTAAACGGTTTATGAGATATGCTTTGTAAATGAAATCTAGGCAGACAAACCTCGTACTATATATGTTCGACCCGGAATAATAATAGTTTTACAAGAACAAGAAATTACCTTATTGCTGACAATGTTAAATCCGAAGCCCCTTTTCTTTTCTCAGGACTGCACGCCTAAAATGTTAATAATTGTTATTGTCAATATTATATACATGAAATAAACTTAAATCGGTTTTAATTCCCAATTGAGCTAATAAAAACCGGCAAACGCCATGCAATGAGCTACGAGGGAAATTTTGCCTGGGCGTTTTTAAATGTGCATACCAATGTGTACAAGGACCTGTTTTTTTCTGCTATCCGAACGATGTCTATACTACCATGCCCCCAGTCCTACACCACGGAAAATCCACACGAACTTTCTCAGCCAATGCAGGAATCAAACACAGTATATGCCCATGTCTGAGAATTAACACTTTACTCACTGAGACTTTGTGGCTCCCAATGTTATAGAAATGAAAAGATGTATAACGTCCTACTGTGTGTACGGCTCTGGCTGGGCTAATGAAATTTTGCCCAGACAGCGGCGCTAAGGCCTACTCTTATATCCAATTCCAACTGGCAAGGGAACTTTTACGTGCACGCCAATGTGTACACGGGACCTCAGTTATTCTTTCTATCCGAACGACTAGGCAGCTGTCCTTGCCAGGCCCTATGTTCTGCACCACTCACTGACAAGGGGAAACCACGCCGGAAAATCGAGATAAATTTTCTTGGTCAACACCGGGAACAAACAATGGGCACTTTATTATTTTTAGTATGTAAGCTGAATTGTTGTCAAAGGATAAAACCATTTACATACCGGTACCAATTTCTACTTTGGCATTAGACTTTTCAATAGACTATCGGAGCATCATCTGGAAGAAAAAATCAAAATAGAACAAAATTAAAATGTAAATAAATGAAGCTTTATTTATAAAGATGCATATAATGTTACTAAGGCTAAAGGCAAAGCTTTTGCTTAATGCAGATCGTTACATTTATTCACTTGCCAAGCCCATGGCATTATCAACTTCCTAGTCCCTATAGACCCATCAGCCATGACCCCTGTCGATAATAATACAGTGCCAAATCACAGTTGATGTCTTGATAACATTACAAATTTGGTGAAAATAAAAATAAGTTGGACTTTTAACTTTAACGCCTTATATGACCAGCCTTCAAGTATCGGCATGCCATACCATGGCATATTACTTATGAAGACCTACTCAGAAAAAAATGTCAACATTAATTACCAGGCCTAGATGTCGAAACCTCCAAAATAAAGTTTGTTCAATGATTTCTGCCCGAAAAGCCGACATATTTACAATACGCTGATACATTGTGATTGTGAAAGGCGTGGTTATGCTTTTTAATTCCCGCCTACAAATACGTTAGAATGTCTGCTCAACTAGCTATTGGTAGCTCCTCCCCTTTTTGGTATTTCGCTAGATACGATATAGCATCAACTATTCGTCACCGTTTGTCGATACTTAGCAAAGATGGCCACATCACAACACGTGTAGGAGCCATTCATTGAGTCATTGGTTTTCACCGACAGTAGTCTCTATCATCCAGAAAAATATTCTACGAGATGCGCTGTCAATTCCGTTCGTGACCGGTAGCACGATTTACCCAAACCTACCCAAATTCACCCAAATCCACCATTATTTCAACTGACATCACAATAATTTATATCGATATTTGATAATATACCGTTCTTTCTGTCAAATTGTAATTTTTTATTTAAAATAGTAGCGTTTTTGTGTCAGAATGTGATTTCCACGTAACTTTGGAAGTCGTAACCAAGGGGCATGTCCTCTAATACACCAATCTAACCAAAATAACTATTATTTAAACTCATATCACAATAATCTGTGATTAATTGATTCTGAATTATTGTAAGTCCACAGTTTACTTTTTTTTATTTTCGCGAAGTGGTAAATTTACATGTTTTCTGATGTTATTTTCTATATATATATATATATTCCAATAGTTTTTAAATTTGTTGTCCTTTTTTAAAATACTGGCATAGTGCATCTTTTGTACTTAAAAATTCCGATTCGCTTTTCGAATACACTATTTCAGTTTTGGTGTTGAAAATTGTATATAAAATCTTATTTTTGTTATCTTCGGACGTTCCTAATTTTTGTAAATAAAGTTTAATGTTGTCTTTAATATGTTTTGTGCATAACAATATGGTATTACCAAGGAAATTTTTTTTCAATGAATTAAGTATAGCCTTTTCCTGGTTACACCCCAATTTCCACTCCCCAGGTCCAAGGGCATGCCTAACGTGGGCACAAAAATGATTGTATGTACCTTGTTCCCCGTCCCAATGTAAAACAAGTGGCCCTAGCATAATTGGTTCTTCGCCTGTTTTTCTATTTAAAACAGATCTGTTTTTGTAAGAAAATGTGGTAACAAAACATTGTCCCAAATAAAAAGTCCTGCCCACTCCAAGCACACTTGCATTTTCACCAAAGCAATTCTTTTTAATATCTACAAATTGTTCTTTCGAATATAAAATAATAGATAGTTGTCTGTAACCACTGAAGCATACCTCTAATATAGCCAAGATATCGTCTGCTAAATTACAATTTATCGAAGGGTTCGATTTTTTTGATTCGCGGTATATTTTATCTTGAACTTGTCGTACAAATTTCGGTGACTCTAAACTGTCATCCAAGCACATTTTATGTGCAACAACACTTGCCTTTTCCGATTTCGACTTGGAATACGCTTTTCTTAGTATTTCGGGATTAGTTCGAATGTATGGTACAGAATCTTTCGAATTGCCATGCGGAGGCTTGGGCGCGAAATTCGCTCCGCTATGTTCAACAATTGCCAAATTTAACAAATCTTCCAATTCAATGGGTGCACTAACGAATTTTGTTATTAGCTTTCTATATTCACAATTATGATTTAGCTTTGTGTGGTAGTGTATATTTGTGTATATTTGTGTATATTTGTATTTATTGTATCTTGAGTATTTGTTGTATTATTGTCCCTTTAATATATTAGTTATTTATGGTATATTTGGTGTTCGTTGTATTGTCCCTTTAATTGAACATCTCTAAGCTGGTAAAGAATATCTTTACAACAGCAAGTCTAAACTCTACTCACTTTTAACTCACTAAAATAACCACATCTCAGCTTCTCTTTCAAATCTCACTTGCATCTTAACCTTGTTACAAGGAGAATCACATTCTGTCACTTGGTAAGTTTTATATTTATTTGACTGACTTTAATATTTTATCTATTTAATATGGTAATGTAATTAGAATATATTTATATATGAAATAATTAAGTTATTAGTATATTTCTATAAGTATTTCCATAAGTATGTTTGTGTAATTGAGAATATTCTACTCTCAGCTATTTAGTGTTAATTTATTCATATCCTTAATTTCAGTCTTGTGTAATAATGTGTCTGTATGGTAGCCATATTTAAGACATCAGCCCTTTCATAAACTCCTTTTTTATAGTGTGTGGGAAATAGCTTTATTTAACGTCCGCTTCCACCGAAGTGATATCGCAGACAATTACATGTTATACATACATAGTGATAATATTTACAATGTGATTAATAGATTAAAACGGATAATTAGTTTTTTTTAGATATATATGTACAAACAATAGATAAAAGGACGAGACATGATATATCAAGTGCGGGAAAAAGAAGTGCAAATTGGGACAAACACAGACATATGACACACAGTTGTGACAAAAACAGACATGGACATGGACATGGACGAACATTTAGACAGACATAGACATTTACATACGGGCATTTGACAGACATGAAAGTGGACGAACATTTAAACATATTGTGTACATATATATATATTGGGTCAATTTGGTCGGTCTGGTAGTTCTGTCCGGTTGAATGGCAGGGGGTGCAACTCTTCCTTGGGGCTTGTTGGTGAGTTTAGGTCCTGGTCCATTCTGCCTTCCATTTGGGTTTGTTGTCCGGTATGGTGGTGTTAATTCATCTTTATTTCTATAGTTCATTCCTTATGTTGTTGGTTCTCTGAAGGAAGAATCCAGCCTATTTTATAGGGTATGTATATGTATTTGTATGTAAATGTACATAGTGTAAACTATTACTATTCTTGATTTTTATACATTTCTTTATGTCTTTCAGAGTTTTTATTATCTGTATACTAAATTGATGATCCACAATAAAATCCTGAACCCATGACCTGGTGTTTTGTTCGTCTTTGTGAATAGAACCCTGCTACATTTGCGTAATATCTGTGAAATGAAATTATATTCTCTGGTTGTGGTTTTAACTCAACATATGTCGGTTTATTTCTTACAACATTTTTTTGTGCAGTATAAAGAGTTCTTTTTATAAATTGCAATTAAAGGTCTGTCCAGTTTATAAATAAAGCGTTGATTTACAGTTGTTCCTGTACGCGAATCCCAAATACCGCAGTCATCTGGAAACTCAGAACAAGTCGATTTAATCAATAAAAAGCAGTCATTTTTTTCTCCGCCAGGAATAAAATCAGATGGTGTACCAGTTTTGAAAGCTTTCATAATTTCATTGTTATACATGAATTTACTCTTTGTTAGAGCAAAGGTGGACAAGATCCAGCATTCGAATACACTGACGAGTTTTCAAAAAATGGTGGGGGCGGTGAGTGTCTTCTGAGCCTTTTCTGTCTCGCAACCCGGTGACGTCTCTTGCCAGAAACGTTTTCGAATGAAGAGTTGTTCTGTGGGATGGGTGAACTGCATGCAAATTCATCGGCTGATAAACTGAAGTCGTCAGAACTTGCCCCTGATGGTAGTGTCTGTGATTGTTTCCTGGATCTTTTCTTGGTCTTTTCTATATTCTCACTGGCCAATGCTTCGAAAGAGTTGTAGCAAGAAGTTGCCGAGATCTTCCTAAGTGTGCCGCGAAATTTTGAACGGCACACTAAGAAATTGCGAAAAACAATGTGACCCCAATTGAGTATTCACTGGTGTCTAATAGTAACTTCGATAGCTGTGTTTTTCTTTATTTAGTTTGAGTCATTCTATGTGTCTATGACTACGGATCTATGCCGTATATGACATGCCATCTTTTTATTTCGCAAAATTAAAATATTTTTCATATATATTTAGCCAGGTGTGTTCCAAGGTGTGCCGCTGGCAAAAAAGGTTGAGAACCACTGAGCTAGAGGTACTGACGTGAAAAAGAGGCGAGACTTTCTCCGCTTTTATCCATTCGTCAATGTCATTGTCTGTCTGTTTGAACTAGAAGAATATTCCTCCAATGCGGATGAAGTTTTCGCACATTTAGGAGGTTGTAACCATTCTTCTGGTTCAAAAATGTTGTGCCTTTTGAAAGGGGTCGTAATGGCAGCTGCACACGTCACAGTTACAAAATGGTGAACAGAATACCATTCGTTATTCTTCGGTAGACAACCCATCGTGAACATCTTCTTTTACCTGACAAGTGGGCCGAAAAGTGCAATTTAAATGCGTGTGCGCAAAATCCCGAGGTCCATTATATGGTTGATAAATAATTTTAATTGGTCTGGACACCACGTTACATAAAGCGATAATTGTCCACGCAGAGAAAACATGTGCTGTATTGGCACAATCAAATACGGCAGTTGAAAAGGTTGGTGACAGACTATGCAGCTTTGAAAATTCTATATGTTTCTTATAGAACTGTTCGTTTTCAATTAATGTAAGACATGACAAGCATCTTAATGCTATACAGATAGTTTTTCGTCGCCTTGTAAAAGTAGGGAAACAGCGTTGAATAGGCAATTTCCATCACCTGATGTTTTTAGTGGATTGCATTGGAGAACTGGCAGGTATCGATGTAACAAAACTCTAGCAGACAAATCAGTTGAATTACCAGCAGCAGATGAAGACTCAGTCCTTGGAAAATCTGCGTTGAATAGTCGTTCTCGTTTAGCAGCTTTTCGCATACTTTCTATACTTTTTGACTTGGCAGTCTAAAATTGTAATTCAATTGAACGGTAAACAATCAAAAACGATATGAGATTATTGGGAGTTTTAAAAAGAGAAGATTTGGGTATATACACGAGTTATGTCCCTTCCATGCGACGACCAAACAAGCATGAATTGTTGGATTTTAACACAAGAAGACTGTGATTTTAAAGTAATTATGACATATTTAGCTAAAGGAATGGTAGTATATTAAAACACGATATACATGACTGTGATATATGTGGAAATAATGGTGGTTTTGGGTAGATTTGGACTCAGACTAGCAATTATTTGCCCTTTGACTTCAATGTTAAATGACTGTAACATCACAGGCTGTAGCTTTTTGCTCAACATTCCGTTGGTTCCAATCTTTATAGGCACAATGGGGACAACATTTGGCAATCTCCACATCATAATTTTGTAGGGGGTTGACCGTTTAGATTTTTTGCTACACGGATTTGAAGTTGACAGGGGTGAAAATCTCACTTCCGACACAATGATTGCTCTGCAGAAAGACACTTTACACCCCCTATCCCTCCGCTGTAATATCATCAGTATTACCCAAAACTGCTATGAAATTGCAAATTTGATCCCTTTTCTCCAATTCTAGACCAAAAAGTCAACCCAAAAATGCAGGAA